GAAGGAGGTGGGAGGCAACAAACCCAGGGACAAGGGAACAAAGAGAGATCTAAAATCAATGGTGAGGAGAACATAGAATGCCTGCTGGGGTTTGATCAAGTGCAATGTAACCGAGAAGAGATGCAGAGAGCCGAATGAAGGTCGAACATGATAGTGGGACAGGAAGAAAGGAAAAGGAAATAGAGGAAAGAACTAGGAGGCAAAAGACATTAATAGAGGTATGAACATAGGCATGTACATATGTAAATATATTACTATATAATGATAGGGATGTAGGTCTTTGTGGGTTTTTTAGAGGTTAAATATTGAGGTAATGAACATTGGGCCTCTACCCAAGTACTCCCTTAACACAGGAACACTTTGTTCTAATAACCTGGCATTCTGTGATGCTCATCTTTCTGACACAATCGCTGGAGACAAAATGGGTGCATAAGCTAATGTGGTAAAGAAAACTAATGATGCCCGACTATTACAATATATAGCATTTTGGGTCTTAAAGACTTGAAGTTAAACAAGTGGCCGTCTAGCAGGGAAGCAACAAAGCCCACATGGAAGAAGCACACCAACCCCTGTGATCATGAGGTGTTGACGAGATCAGGTTTCAGGCATCAGAAGACCCAAAACAAACAACCATTTTGATGTGAACAAGGGGGGTCAGAATGTGGACCTAAAGCCCACCTGTAGACAATTTGACATTCCCTCACAGAAGGGTCATGAGGCAAGGAGGAGCCAGCCAGGGTGCAGTTTAGCACTGATGGAACACAAGCATTCCTCTAGTTCTTTAATGCTTCCTCTTGCCCACTATCATGACCCCAGTTCTACCTTACAAATCCAGCTAGACCAGAGCATGTACACTGATACAGATAAGAGCTCTCGACACACGGAATCCAGGACAGATAAACCTCTCAGGATCAATAATGAGAGTAGCAATACCATGAGGGTAGGGGGCACAAAGGGGGAACCAATCGCAATGATCAACATACAACTCCAAGCCCCCTTTAAGGGGATAAACAACAGAAACATGGGTGAAGAGAGACAATGGATGGTGTAAACTATGAAAATTAAAATAATTTGTAAATTATCAAGAGTCAGGGAGACTGAAGGGGGAAAAACGAGCTAATACCAAGGGCTCAAGTAGAAAGAAAATGTTTTGGAAATGATGGCAACATATATACAAATGTGCTTGATACAACTGATGTATAGATTGATATAAGAGCTGTAAGACCTACCAATAAAATAATTTATTAAAATTAAAAAATTAAGATTGTTTAAAAAGAATCCTCTCTGACAATAGTCGAGAGATGTGAATAGCCATACTATCAGAAAAAGAGCATTGTAAAGTTGACTATAGTAGATACAGCTAGGTTTAAAAGTAGCACCTTATTTTATCTTTCTTTTGACACTTAAATTTGTTCTAGTTTTCAATATTTTCTGCTTTCTTTTTAATTGAGATTTTTCTCTTTCATTTTGTCATTGTTGTTGATTTGTTGTTGTTGTTGTTTGATTTTGGTTTGTTTTCCTGTATATGAAATCCAGGATAGGTAAATCTATAGAGACAGACCCTCGATTAATAATTACTAGAGAAAAGACAGGGGAATTTAGAGAGAATTGGGGAGCTAACAA